ACGATAGCGCTACAGGGAGAGGGATCGACAGAATCCAGTCAAAAGATATCATTGCCCTTATGGATCATGTAAGCATCCTTTTCCCCTCTCTTTTCAAATTACAGAACACTCACTAACCTCTCCACTAACTAGCTCACTGTTCGTGACGCTCAGCGTAATGCCAGGGATACTGAGATCCTGGTGACTCTCGTCAGAAGTGCAGCGGAGATGCGCAATTCATTCGAGGAAATGAAGAAGTTCATCGCTCAACAGGACGGCATGATCATGGAGGCCAGCGACAAGCAGCATGAACGTGTATACAAAGCTATCGGTGGACCGCGCCCACTACCTACTAGCGGCTCAAGAAACTTCCGCCAGGCTGCGGAAGATATGGAGGACATGCGTTCGAAGCGAAAGAGCATATTCAAACGGGCGCTCAAGGGGCTGAGTCTCAAGTCTTCGAATGATTTGGCCAAGATCGAGGAGATGCTGGAACAGCTTCTCGAGGAGGTCGAAGCCCTGCGCGCAGGTCAGGACGACAGATTCGCCCGCAGTGTCAATCGAACAGCGAGTGTTGATCCGGAAGGGTATGAGCCTGAGGGTCTCGCCGGTTCTGGCTCTCCAGGAACAGGGTACCTCTCAACATCTTCTCGACCTCTCCAGGAATCTCGTAGCGATGGACAAAGAAGAGAGCTCGAGAACCGCGTCAGCACCGTCCCGGAAGGCGATGAGGACGACGATTACGACGATCGCGGAGAGTTTTTGAGCCCGAACATGCCGTCCCAGGAGAACGCGGATGGACATCGTGAGAGGGCTGAGTCTGCGCCTCTTTCAACTCCACCTCGAATGCCGGTGGCTTCGGGCGCTCTCAGCAACGAGACTAGCCCGAAGACGGAAAAGGCACGCAAACACAAGTCGAGCAGCTCTTCCTTCTTTCCCAAGATCTCCCGATGGTCGAAAACCACCGCATCTTCCATGGGAGATAATATCCGCAACAGCCTCCAACCCGGACGCAAGGAACGCCCTTACTTCGATGCGTCACGTTCTGGATCCGATATCAACGGGCCATACAAGGCGGCTGACTGGTACGATCCGGAAGGCGATGACCGACTGCGGTCCAACTACACCCTAAACGACCAGCAGCAGGAGAATCGACCTCCGTCGCCTCTCGTCCCATCACAGGTTTCTGAGGCTCCGAAGTACCGCGCTCATCGCGACAGTCTCGATCTGCAGCATCCCCAACCACGCCAAGGCCCTACCGGGCGCTACCAATCTCAGCTAGAGACCCAGGCGCAGATTTACGGAATGCCAATGACCGGGGCGACTTCGGATCAATGGGGTTCCAATCCCAGCATGTCTGCCACTAATCCGAATCAGAATCGGTACAGTGGCGCCAGTCGACTTTCACCAATCTCGGATACTGGCTACTCGCAAACAAGTTCGAGAGCTGGGCAACAGGGGCCCCCGAGACCTCCCAAGATCATGGACGAGGGTCCACTCGTCCCTGAGAGGCCTCCCAAGATTAAGGAGGAGCGATCATACGCGGAGCGTGTTGCCTCCCAGGTGAGCTCCCTTTGTCTACCACATTAGGAACGAGAATAATACTAATTATCTTACCTGCAGAGTTCTGCTATGCGTTCTCCACGTGGCACGCCTTCTCCGCGCAAACCTACCGGGCCTCGACCTCTCAACTCAGGCTCCCAATACAGCCCGAACCGCAGGAAGAGGAGTCAGTATCGAGCAAGCCCCGACCAGGTTGACGTTGAACACGACCATTGATCGGTTGTCACGCAACATCACTCAGACAAAGGCTTGAGTGACGCTTCCAAGACGCTACCCAATCTCAGCTAGAGATTGTGATTCTTGTGCTGATCAATGTCTAATGACCTTAATGACCTTTGCACTTGAACATTTACCTGATAATTTGACGATCCCAGCGTTCCTGCATATCACATCTGCAGCCTCTTTTTGCCCTACCTGATGACTTTTGGTGAAACGGATTCAGGTTGTAAACATTGATTTAATGGCATTACCTGTATTTTTTCTGTCCTATTTGCGCGCGAATGATCCCCTACTCTCTTCACCTTCCTGCATACTTTGTTTTTTAGCAGACCAGTCTTGTCGGTCGCTTGTGACCATGCTGGTGATGAATGTACTTCGCAGTCACATGCATAGCCTGGACATAAAAGCATGGTTGAACCCCAGCTCTTCACACCAGTCACTCTTCCACTTAAGAGATCCAGCACTCGAATTCATGGTTCTGACACGATTATCAAAGACTGTGGCCATCATAGATGCAGTGCGAAATCGAAATGCGGGGTAAGTTATCAAGAACGACATCATCCCCTCACCTGATCTCCCCCGTCTCTAGAACCTCCGAACTTCTCTCAACCACAGCGACAACAACATTACTTTTAGGATAAGAGACAACCTTTTGGACCGCAAACATGCCTGACTCGCTGGACCTCATTATGTGTTCCACCTGCGGAACACAGTACGATACCACCTCCGAGTCCTCCTGTAAGATCTGCGACGATCCACGCCAATACCTCCCTCCAACAGGGTAGGCATCGCACCCAGCCTCACTTACAAGTAAGGTATCTACTAACATTGTCAGTGAAGCCAATCCTGGACAACCCTCCGCACTCTACAATCAGCAAACCAATGCCACAACGACTTCGCCCCCGATCCGGACCACCCGGACTCACTGATAACCATCCACACAAGCCCCAAAGTCGGCATCGGCCAGCGCGCCTTCCTCTGCCGCACAGCCCACGGCAACGTCCTCTGGGACTGCCTCTCCTACATCGACGAGGACACAATCCGCCGGATCAACGAGCTAGGCGGCCTCGCCGCGATCGTCATCTCGCATCCGCACTTCTTCGGCGCGAATGTGCACTGGGCGGAGGTGTTCGGGTGTCCTGTCTACATCGCAACGGAGGATAAGGAGTGGGTAATGCGCAAGTCCGAGAGGCAGGTGTTCTGGGAGGGAAGGGAGTTACGGATCCCCTTGCCGGGTAAAGGTGATGGCGATGCGGACCTGGTGGCGGTGAAGACGGGGGGTCATTTCCCCGGTAGCTCGGTGCTGTGGTTCAAACCGTTGAGGAAGTTGCTGGTTGCGGATTCGATCGCGGTTGTGCCGAGTGGCGTTTATCATAAGGATCGAGTGCCGGGTACGGCGTCGTATACGTTCATGTGGTCGTATCCCAACATGGTCTGTGCTTCTTGCTTGGTTGTTGGTATAGGCTGAACTGACTGGACAGATTCCCCTGCCGCCGGACGCGGTGCTCAATATCTGGAAGGCTATCAAGCACACAGAGTTCGATGATGCTCACGGTGCCTTTGTCGGTTGGGACACGCATGGCGACAGCAAGAAGCGGGTTCTGGAGAGTGCAAAGATCTACGTTCGGGCAATGGGATATCTGGACCATGCCATACACCAAGAACAGTAGCCCTGTTGCTCTGTTGTTTTTGGATGAATTCTTGCTGATTTGAATTATGGAATCGGGTATTAACCTGAATACTAACCCTGTTTCTGACACATGAGACTCCAAGTAATGATGAAAACACGCTTAACTCTCCATTATCCCAGCCTGGAAAAGAGAAACCAAGAGCAGAACAGACAATCCAAGGTCCCATCAAACATCCGAAAACGGCCTGACAGATGTTGTTCCTCGGCCTCTTATATGATGTGGTGCTGTCGCAAGCGAACTAAACTCCAGTCCATCACTGATGGGGAATTTTCCAGGAAAACTTTCCACCGAGTGGGTTGCTCGCAAAGTCTCCATTTCAAGCAGAGTCTGGTCGTTCACAGAGTCATCGGTCACTCGAGGCTGCTGTCCATCCGTGGACTCCATTGACATTGGCCGACTGGTAGTGCTGAATTGTGGCCTGCCAGACACAAGCTTGGCATACTGTGCCGCCGAACCTGCCATATGCTGCTGCATACTCGAGGAACGCGAGTACATTCTGCGCACAGAAGTACTTTTTATCGTCGTGTTGGAGTAAAGCGAATCGCTGCCGGCCGCTGGAATCATTGAGTCCATACCGCTTTCCGATTTCTTTTTGGCGAGCTCTGCCTCGCGATCCACGAGTCCCTGAGACATGCGGACTGCAGGCTCGATACTGGAGGACACTTGCATCAGCAGGCTGTTCTGGTTGGACGATGTCCTCTCGGTAGACTCTGCTTCCACCGCATTTGTCGGTCTGTGGGACTGCTGAATCGAAATCGAATTCGTTGCGATGGAGGTTAAGGGAAGGTCGTTGGAGAAGAAGTTCCCGATAACCGGTACGTAGTAGCTTTCCGGGATTGAAGATAGAAAGATCCGTACGATTTGCTGCTCTCTGCGATGAATGGCTCCCCGAACCGGGTGCCATGCTGCTGCTTGCTCTATGCGAAAGACCAGCGCCACAGCATGCAGCATCTTCAGCGTCAACAGTGCTCCTATTAGCTTGAGAGCCTGTGCCAGACTGATAGCTATAGGTTCATGTTTCTGAGACAGGTCCTTGGGTGCTGAGGTCGCCATGAATGCGGTCCTTGAGATGAAGCGGTGTGCTGCGACAGGATATGTCACAAAGATGAATATAGAGCAGAGAGGCCATAAAAGAACCGAAATACAATTCATTATACAAAGAAGTAAGAGTTCCTGTTTCAGGGAATTGAGAAAAGTAGCAAGCTGTATTCGGAGGAAGGAGCAACCAGCAATGGCATTTTCAGCATATGGGATAATGTCCCAAGAAGATCAGTAACGTAGGTCGACTTGTAAAATATCACCCGGCCTCAATGGTATCTTCTGCACCTTAAGCATCATGGACATCGATCTATCACTCCAGATGCTCTTCTTGGAAGTGCCGCTAGTCCTGTGTACTGCCACTGCCTATCTCCTCGCATCTCCCCCGATCACGTCACTTGATTCGATCCTCACCACCATACCTTAGATCTCCCCGCACACAAACAACAACTATTCCATTCTATGCTTGCATCTCGTACTTTCAGCCGATCCTCATCTTCAGTCGTCTCAATGGCACTCTCACTTGAGAATTATGCCCTCCGACAACGACGCTTCGCTCCCCTCAATCCAGCCCTCGCGGAACCTTCTGATGCGCCTCGGTTGAAAGGAATTGTGTTCGATGTTGACGGGACACTATGGTGAGACCTCTACTATATAGATAGATCAATCTGGCATATTCTTCTTTATTGTGATCCGAGAGATACACTTCACTCTCATCCGAGCTCCAATAGAATGCTATAGTCTTAACTAACCGCAACAGCCTACCACAGAATTACATGTTTTCCGAGATGCGGTAAGGACTCATCACAAAACACCCAATTCAAAGGTATGCCGCCCTAACAGCTCCTAGTAAAGCTCTGGGCATCGACAAGAAAGTCGACATCCTGCATCATATTCGGGATCTTCCCACCGCTGCCGAGCGCACCGCGGCAGCCGAAAAAATCAAAGCCATCGAGCGAGAGGCGATGAAGCAACAGCAGCCTCAGCCAGGTCTGGTGGACCTGATGGACTACCTCCAGTCTCGGGGTTTGCATAGGGCCCTCTGTACACGCAACTTCGAGTGCGTTGAAGCCTTGCCTCTGCTTTGTAGTCACTCCTGTAGAGTAGCTGACCGCGCTATGTATGACAGGGCGCCAGTGATGCATCTCTTACAGAATCACCTTCCTTCTCACGTTTTCCTACCCATCATTACGCGAGAAACACCTGGTCTACTTCCCAAGCCTGATCCTGCTGGGATTCTACATATTGCCCGAGAATGGGGGCTTGACAATCGCGCTGAGAATTTGATCATGGTAAGTCAGCACCTTCTTGATTCGCCTGTATCCAGAACCTAATTCTGTTTTCCTTGGTAATGTCGTAGGTTGGCGACAGCATTGATGATATGACTGCCGGTCATACGGCGGGCGCAGCGACTGTGCTGCTTGTCAACGAGCACAATACTCATCTCAAAGACCATGCTCATACAGACCTCTGTATCGAGCGTTTAGACGAGCTGATTGACATACTAGAAAACGGTTTCGTTGGTCACCGGGGAGGAGATAAGCCACCCACAAGTGACAGGGATGGATAGAGCATACAGAAGAGCCCTCGAGCCCTCGATCGTCACATAGTCTGATTTTGCATAAAGAGTAAACTGGTGTACTATACATATGCGGGGAGTATATACAGTCCGCGAATGGGATGCAAAGGCGTATTCTTAATGCCCTTATGGATATAGACTCATGAAAACATGGTCACGGTCATGGTGCCCGAATTGGGACATGATGGAATAATGCTATCTAACAAAGCCCCCAAGTCAAGACTCGAATAAAAAGTGGTAAACCCATATAACGCCATTGCCCTTAATACACCAACAATAGCCGCATGCAATATACAAGGTCATCTGGCAAGGTTGAGTCACTCACAGACTTTGGTAAGGTAGCAAGGCCCCTGCAGTTTCATGGGTATCGTTACACTGTCCATTTCATCACAGTCTGTATCTGTCCCAGTTCTTTTTCGCAGCACTCGGCATCGGACGATAGCCATCTCCGTTAGAAGTTCCGCTGGCACCACCTCTTTTGTTCCCACCACCCCGTCCGCCTCGACCGTCTCGACCCCCGCCGTTTCCTCCGCCTCTTGTCCGACGGGACGGCTCCGGTCGATTCCGAGGAGGCGAGCGAGGCGGCGGCTGCCGGCGATCATTGGCTCTACCCCGGCTCGAGCGCGCGTTGGGAGACAGGGAGCGCTGGCGGGAATTGTAGCCCCCATAGTCCTGACGGTCTCGGTACGTCTGGCGGGTATCCCGGTCCGAGGCGCGAGGGCCAGCGGGCGCAAGATTCTTGCCTCTCCCTATCCCGCTGCCGATTCGGATGTTGGGCCGGTTGGCGTTCGCGGTCGCGTTCCGACCGCCGGGTTGGCGGCCTGCCCTGGGCATCATGTCCTCGCTGTCTGAGGATGCCGAGGGCCGGTCGGCGCGGCCCCGGATTTGCATGCCGCTCTGGCCTCTTCGGGGGGCTGGTCCGCCTTGCCTGCCGCTGGTTACGGAGTTGATGTTGGTCACCATGTGGGGGTCGATGCCTCGGAGGGTGAATGATGAGGAGACCATCGATCGTGAGAGGGACGGGCAGTCGCCGACAAGGTGGCGGTTGCTGGTGCAGTGAGAGCATGAGATTGAGACTAGCACGGGCCCCGAGGGCAGTTCCTGCCGTGGGATCTTCCACATCATATCGCACTGGAATTCCAGGTGGCTAGATGATCCACAGAGATCGCAAGGTATCTCGGATGCGGAGCCTTTGAGAAGCGAGGAGCATTGTTCTTCATCGTGACCGCGTTCTCGACATCGTTGACATCTCCGCCAGGATGGACAGAATATGCTTTGGTGCTGGTTCCAGGCGCCACAATGTACGCACTATAGGTAGTCAGTAATCGCATTTGATAGATTGCAGTAGACTGTGTGTGTCATGGGGGGTATATATCTGACACTCAGTCGAATGTTTCGAGAACATACCTCTTTGGAAGGACACACTGCTGCAAGATGTCCCTCTTTTAAGCACTCAGTGCACGATATTGGCAGTTGAAGGTTGATGTCATTGATTTCGCGGTCATAGAACAAGCACCTAGCCTGTATCTCCATATCATTTCGATCGAGATCCGCAAGTATTGTCGGTGCGACCGAGTACTTTTGGGAAAAGAGACGATGTGATTCTTCCTTCGATGTTGTCGATCGGTCGCCTGCGGCGATACCATTCACCGAAACAGGTTTTACTTCAGCAGACAAGCCATCTATTTGATCATTCTGATCGCCAATATTCAGCAATATAGAGTCATCAGCCTCGGAATCCAGAGAAACGGAGTCATCCGAATCTCCAGATTGATCAATGTCACTTGACTCTGCTGATGTCTCCTCGTCAAGCTCCCCTTCCTCCATGTCACCCTCGTTTTCAACCAACGTAACATCCTGATCGCCACCGTCGCTAGACACAGAAGCACTGCGACTGCGCCAGAATTTGTCGTTGACGGCCTTGAACTGAGAAGAAGCCTGTTTGTTCTCGCCCGTCCTGTCCGCTCGCCTGGATAGCGACGTTCTGATGCCACTCTTGCTCGTCTTGTTCCAGTTAATGGCAGGTGCCTGAGGATTCGTCCGCGCGGTATTCTGTTTCTCTGCATCGGACGTAGTGGATTTGCCGTCGCTATCGTCGTCGGACGAGTCAAAACCAGAGCTGGACGCGCTGTCCGGATCTACCTCTAGCGATGCTGCGGTGAAAGTAGCGCCTTGAGGGACGAAGTCTCGCACGTCCGGCACCGCAGATTTGCCATTTCTCCGTTGCCTTTTTCGAGGATTCGGGTTTGGATCCGACGAGTTGGGGCGCGACGAGTCGGTCGAGTCGTTCGAGTCGTTCAAGCGGCTACGCTGGACACCAACAGAGGCAGTTCGTGAGTCATTTTCATTATCGGAAGATCCCGTCATGATGCCTCATCGAGGGTTTGGGCGCCTGCGAGGGTTCAGGAAGTCGCCCGAGTGGTAAAGGTAATTAAGAGATGGGTGGACATTGTGCATTCTTGGGTTGTTTCCGATCGAGAAATTTTACGGTAGCCGATAGAGACCAGGAACGTCATTTGTCGCCTCTGATGGTCTACGGTGAGCGTGAGGATGACAATGAAGGACTGGAATCTATCTTGGAAACCATTGTTGGCCTGCTGTTGTGATGTTATCCACTGTGCATTGATTCAGTATTAATATGGAGCTGCAATTGAATATAGCTAACGGTTTGGAGATAACAGCTCCGGACGGCGTACGGAGGACTAGGAGATAGTGTGGCCTCAATTCCCATATGTATAGCCAGGGGGAGATAAAAATAACAATCCAGATTGACGAACATGTTTATTTTGTAGTTTATCGACGGAGCAGTCTAGAACACATCCAATATAGAAGCAATTGATGAGTTCCCGAGGTCTGGCCTCTGCACTAGTTGGTTGACCTTGTTCTATCTCTTCTTCACCATCTTCTGCTTCTCCTTGTGAATCTCCAATCTTTCTTCCTTCCGCCGACCTTCTCTTCTTTTTGCCCCTCGACTTCCAGCTACACGTCGACCCTCTCCCAAGGTTTTCTTGTCACTCACTGCTCGAATTTCCTTTTAGTTCTTTGGTCTATCATAGTATCGCCATTCATTGTATCCTTTCTCTTTGCTTTTGACCAGTCTCCAAGTCTTGTATTTGCCAACGGTGCAGTTGTTGTCTGCTGACTCCTGTGACCCATCATACTGCCGGTCCTCTAAGATCTTGCGGTCGGAAGTTCTGCGAGAGTCTCCATTCTCATTGGAAAGGAGTAAGATTCTTCAGGAAGAAAAAGAGAAGGCCTGCGTTCATTGGTGCTTCCTGGTCTTGCTTTTTCTGCACCTCCCGGCTTATCTCTGGCAACCTCTTCGACCTTGCTCCGTACATCCTGACGAAACACCGCCAAAGTGTCTTCCCTACTCGTTCCCCGTGCCATCTCCTTCCCTCCGGGAGTTGACACTGGTTCGCGCCGGTTGTCTCCGGACTCCAATATGTCTCAATCCAAGGCTGGTCGGAGGAGGAGATCGAGCAGTATCATCTACCAGGAGCCGCCGGAATCCATCGAGCATACCAGTGATCAGGCTGCCCTGCCGAACCTCAATGCTAACTGGGTCAATGCCAAGGGTACGTGAGCTACATATTGTGATACGAGCGAGTCTATGTGATTTGGAGGAACGCAGCTTGGTATGGGCAAACAGCTGACTCGAGCTCGTCAATTGCAGGTGCCTGGACAATCCATTTCGTTCTCATCATCGCCTTGAAGATCTTCTACGACATCATTCCTGGCGTCTCGCAGGAGACATCATGGACCCTCACAAATATCAGCTATATGTTCGGCTCCTTCATCATGTTTCACTGGGTGCGGGGTATTCCATTCGAGTTCAACGCTGGAGCATACGACAACCTCAACATGTGGGAGCAAATTGACAACGGGGACCAGTACACGCCAACAAAGAAGTTCCTCCTTTGTGTCCCCATCTGTCTCTTCCTGCTTAGCACACATTACACGCACTACGACTTGACATACTTCACTATCAATTTCCTGGCCACTCTGGGTGTTGTCATTCCAAAATTACCATTTGTATGTCCCCTCCGACTTGATCGCGCAGTCATCGCTAATCTGGTCCATAGTCACACCGTCTGCGGATAGGTCTCTTTTCCGACTTATCGGATGAGTCGACATAGTATCTCCTTGCTTACACTACCACTTGGCGTCTCAGTGTTTCCTTTTCCTTGTCTTTTACGAGCACCCCATTGCTTGCTATATTATTCTATTGGACAGCACCGTCTACGGGATCGACTTCTCTCTCCAGCTTTTCAACTACGCTTACAACAACTTCCTTATCTGCTGCATGTTCGTGGTGTGACTGGGGGTTGGGGGTAATTCAATAAAGAATACTTGATATATGAATCGGTGTGAGCCGAATTAGAGTGCGGCAAGGAGCAGTTGTTCCTTGTACTGCAATAAAGCCGTGTTTTACATACCTACGAGTCCATTATTAGCCTCATCTCATGCTTAGCCAACGCTTGACTGGTGAACCGCCATTTGCTTGCTGAGTTCGACCAGTCCAGGCCTCCATTATACGTACGGGTGTTAGAATGTGTCGGTTTTAGCTTATATAGACTACCTGGGCATATCGCCGCACTGCTTGTACATCCAGACGTCTCCGAGTCTATACCATAGTGGCCCTTCCATATGGCTGCGCGTGTTTCTGCAACTGTTGGGCTACGCCGAATAGCCTGACGCTAATTCCTAGACACGGAGAAAGTGAACCCAGCCAAGCCTCGGTCAGCTCAATGTTCGTATGGTGATCCGATCCGGGAGATGTTGCGTCCGAGACAGCGATTCAGATGTCTAAAACGCCGGCGATGTATGGTCTCTGTACGTGGCCAAGATGATATGATACTCTATGATATTACGAGCTTGGAGAATATATTGTTATCTATGTCCCATGTATCGCGTTGATGGAGCGGAGCACCATTTCCGCTGTCCTTTCATGTCGGTTAAATATATATTTTTGCGGTGCGGACAGAAGTCCGCGGTCAACGACGCGGCCACCCATGCCACTATGTTAGTGAGGTGAACTATAACTGTTAACTATAGAGAATGCATCAAGGAACAGGAAAGAGTAGAAAAATAAATGGAATGAGGAAGGCGATGCAAAAGGACACGGCAAAAAAATGAACAAATCAAGCCAGACGCCAGTGGTTGGCGCTGCTGGGAATCGAACCCAGGTCGAGACGGAGCTGTGGGGAGCCACAACGTCGCATGATAACCACTACACTACAGCACCTTGATTTGATGACAGGCCGGAGGATTCTTTGTTCGATATAGCAAGAGAACCCTCAGTACAAGAAATTGACGATTCGCATTTCCCTGCTTCACTGTAACCATCGGTATATGACGAAGGAGCCGGTCGCATTGGCAAATACGATGTTTGCGTACATCAGAATATAGAATATCGGCCGCCGCTTTCATAGCAGACCGTATATGGAACCCCTCCGATAAGCGTCGCGGGTTCGCGTTCACGCGCCTAATCTATAACCAAATTATGCGCTCACTGTCACCCACCTAGACACTCACCAGGTCAGCAAAGATCAACGCCGATGACGATAGCTATGGCCACAGAGGAAGGGGCGTCTCTGCCCCTATATCGCCCGACCAAGGCGATTCCTTACGAACTTGTCCAACATTGTGGCATATTCCTCGAAGAAAAGCTATGTTGGTTTGCCCGCTCACATATCATCGATGCCACCCACTGACAAAGAGCCGTACCAGACACACAAGCACTCAATCTTCTACTGAACATACTGTCGCCTGGTGCTATTGCCTCAGGACCCGTCTACGTCCCCTCCCCGCAGTACCTTGCAGTCGCAGCCACGTTTCTCGTCCACCCATCCACCACAAGCCGAGCCAAGACAGCAGAGGAGGAAGAGGCACCGAACGCAGCGCTGCGGCTGCTCCGGCTCACCAACACGCTTGTCGGACCGATTTCTGCCAGATTCACAGCGGCGTTTGCGTTCAATCACTTCGAGTCCTCGCGGCAGGGAAGGCGGCGGCGCGTAGAGGACGACGAGAACGCGAATGGCAATATCTCGAACGACGACGCGAGGACACTGCACATCGACATGTGCCAATCGGCATCTCTCTGGTCTCGCGCTGAAGACTTCTGGCATGCCGTAGGGTGGGCGTTCAACTGCTCTGTTCTACATCCGGAACGGTGGGCGCGATGGCAGATCTGGCTGCACTTCATGTGCGAGGTTCTCGAGGACGACTGGAACGAGCGGAAGAGGCAGTGCATGGGTGTTGCGGATGACGAAGCCCGTCGCGAAGTGCTCGAGAGAAGCTTGATTTTTCGGTACATCGCCGGCGGGAGCACGCCGTATGGGCGAAATCGAAGAATCCTACGAGCCATCTTCGCAGATGGCGGCTCGGCCTCCGTCAACGAATTCCGCGAGGTGTTCCACAACGAACTGAAAACGCTCAAGCGCGAGAGCAATAATATCAAAAAGCGCGAAGGCGAAGTCAACATCGACGAGGACCAGTTCGGCGACTACCTGTCCAAAGACGAGGACGAGGACGGGTCCGAAGCAACAGACCCCGCGGCGCCAGCCCCGGCCAGACGTACAACACGTCAATCCAAGCGCAGCAGACGAGGCGCCCCCCCAAAAGACACCCCAACCGCCGACGCAGTCTCCGCCGACTCGCCCAGCACCGTCCAGGTGCACGGCGGCGTCTCCCTCCTCGGCGGCTTCCCATCCCTCGCCCTCCGCCAACGCCTCCTGCACCTCCTCTCCGCCGTCTCCGAGGACCTCCCGGCCTCCTTCACCACCCTCGAGGAACTCTACCACCTCTTCGTCGAAAATATCCGCCACCTGCCCCTCCCCATCTACCAAGCGTTCGTGAGCCCCTTCGTCCTCCCGCATTTCTCCGCCGCCGCGCAGACCACCCTCTGCGAGTTCCTGCTGTTCCGGATGCGCGAGAACGCAGCCCCGGACACAGACGAGGAGTATCTGAACCAGGCGAAGCTGGAGGAATGTTTCCTGCCCTTTGCGGCTAGCACGCCGAGCATCGTCGATAATGCCAAGATGTCCATCGCGCTGGAGTCGCTTCTGGTGCTCCTGGCGGATAGTGATATGCTGACTGTCACGCCGGAGCTGAAGGCTGCGGTGCAGGATGGGATCATGGCCCGGGCGGAGAAGGTCCAGGTGGAAACGAGGAAGAACCAGAGTAGTCGCAAGACGGAGGATATCGAGTGGTGTTGGCTGCTGGAGAGTGGTGAGCGGTTGATGTTTCTGGTGGATGAGGTTCTTTCGCGGAAGGGTGCTTCTGCGAAGTAAGTTCCCATGATTGGCACGCTGTTTCTATATCTTTAATGTCTCTATTTCATGATACCCCTGCGTCGCATCGGCAGTGTCTAGTTTTGATGTCAATTGATTCACCTAAACATGGTATCTAATGTTAAATTGCCTATGTACAAATGATCGGAGCAAATCGAGGTTGAAGACAACAGCAACGCCAAGTAGTGCAGTATAACAAGGTAAATTTGGCCAGCCATCTATGGCGGCGGGCGCGGCCCAATGATCTGCCGCCTTGCTCCTCCTACGCCCAGTCCGGGTCCGCCTCGGTTCTGGTTATCACCGCCCATGAAACCGTACTGGTGCACATCCCAGGCGCCCTGGCCCGGCCCGATGCCAACGTTAGGATCTTTCAGACCCTTTGCGGCTGCCTCGCGCGTCTGCTTCTGACTCTCTTCCCACTCACGCTGGCGCTCACGCTCGCGCTCCATTTCCCGCTCCAGTAGGGACTTGGAGGCCCATCCACCTGCTTTTGTCTTCTGCTGCGCAGCTACTCGGCGGTTATTTTCTTCGTCGACCTCTGCGGTGGTGGTGTAGTCCTGTGGGCGGTGAGTCGAGGGCTTAGGGGCGACAGGTGGCCGGTTAGATGCGAGGAAGCGGTCGACACGGCTCTCCTGGCCCTGGGACTTGTTGGCATAAGCGGCAGGGTCGGGGAGCGGCCGAGGCGATGCGGCCGCTGATTGCGATGTAGTCGGTTCCGGAAGGGGTCGGGGCGGCATCGGAGGCGGCGCATTGCTGGGCTCGGACTCGGCGGTTTCATCGTGGGCTTGATGCTTCTGCCATTCGGTACGCAGCATTCGTCGTTCTTGCTCGAGAGACGAGAGGCTGTAGCTGGGCTTCGGAGGAACAGGCACAGGACGCGGACTCTGCGATTGCGGCTTGCCCGTTTCTTTCTCCTTCAGCTCCTGACGCTCACGCTGATACTGGCGCTCCCGTTCCTGGGCGAGTTCCAGCTCCCGCTCCAATTCCTTGATGCGCTGACTTTCCCTGGACTCGCCAGTAAGGCCGGCTTGATATTGACTGAGAAATTGCCCTGTCAGACGGACATCACCTGCCTCCCGCTGACGCTGTCTTGCTTTGTTCAGTCTCTCCTCTGCCTCCTTCTCCTCCTGTTGGAGCTTCCGTTCCTCTTCTTCCCACTTTCGCTGTTCCTCATCCCACTGTCGACGCTCCTCCTCCAGCCGACGCCGCTCCACCTCCTTCAGACGAGCGGTCTCTTCTGCCCACCTGCGTTCCTCTTCCGCCTTGGCGCGCTCTTCCTCCGCCTCCCGCTCTTGACGGCGGATGCGTTCAGCCTCTTCTCTCTCGATACGCTGGCGCTCCTCTTCCTCCCGCCTGCGCTTTTCCTTCTCTTCCAAGCTTGGAACAAACGGCGAAGGTGTCGTGATCTGTCGACGAGCGCCAAAGGCCACTCCTTGGTTGCCCTGACTGGCACCGCCCATGTACCCATATTGATGGATATTCCAGGCCGGCATTGTCACCTGCTCGTCTGACTTCTTGCTCCAGCTGCTCACAGCCGGCGACTTGGCGGGGCTAGATGTCCCAGAATTGTTGCTGACGTTGCTGAGTCCCCGAGATCGTAGAGGAGTATTGGCCGATTGACTCGAGCCGGTCAAATGAGGACTCACGGCGCCTCCTTTGCTCTGAACACCAATTGCCCGGGGAAATTTGCTGGGTTGAAGAGCATTAGCCCTCCTACTGAAGGCCATCAGGCACTGCAGGACCTGCGCCGGGTCCTTTGATTCGTAGAGATCGACAGTCAAAAAGACATCGTGGGGCGGTAGGCTCAGAGGAGGTATTTGACATGCGCGTAGGAAATGCGAGATGTTTTCCATCTGTACGAACGGCATAGATGACTGCTTATACTTGACGCCGGGGGAAACGGCTAGGTTGACGAGCCTGAAAAGTCCATCCAATTAGTACTTATTTGCAGTGTTTCTGCTTGGAGATACTTGCCTGCAAAGCGCGACTCCATCTTTAAGCGCATCCAGGAGATCCCCTGCTGGGAGTTTCTCATGAAGCGTCTCTTCAATCCATGCGCGGACCTCTGCGGCAGCCTGCGGGGTATAGCGGGACAAGCGCAAACTGCGCAGGTCCTTATCTAATGATGTAACTGATGCCATACCGGGGCCGAATAGAAATCAATGTGACTTTGCGTTCATACAGAAACTCCACTGAAGACTCGAGGAATCAGGATCGGACAGATCGAGGGATGTCAACCCCTGTTTATGCTGCCCGACAGGAACGGTGGGAAGAACCGCGGATCTATGTGGGCTTCAAGGGGTAGCGTAATAGGGGGAAAAGAGGTTCTAGAAGAAGCTTGGTTAAGGGGGGTATTGAGAAATGATGAACGGAGAACCTATGTATAAGGAGTTGAAGATGGAAAGAGACTCTACAAGGACAGAAGCGATGGTGAAAAGAAGAACCGCCGAGAAGAAGATAGTTGACGCTGATCTATGGAATGGAATGTGGTTGTCGGCCAAACAAATTACGCCTATTGTAAGTAAAATACGATTACGAGCACTGCCCGATGACGTTTTTCTGCGCCCTCAATAATATTATCGATAGCCTCCTTCTACGTCGCAACTCAGCAAGCCACGTTTTCATCGCGCCTTAATCGGTGTTTGTTCTAGGCTGCCATCAATAGTTCCATCTCACCTGGGTCCTAATGAGTCCAGTGAACAGCTTGTGGTTCAAGTGGAAAAGCCTTCGATTGCCGTGGCGAAGATCCTTCCTTGTCGGTAGGCATCCCCAGCACTAACTGTCTGTTACTACGTTGCCTCCAGGTCCTCTGACATCTGATTGCAGGCACCGACTTGTCCGGAAACACATACTGGGAATTCAAAGACTCACTGAATGCCGGGCGATACCGGCGGATCGTCAAGTACAACTCCAAAACCCACTATGCGGACGTGCAAGTGACTCGTGAGTGTCCTGAAACATCTAAAACAATGGCAGTGAAATTGTGAACTTGTCTAGGTAAGCTAACGGAAAGTCTTTTACAGCCCAGTGGCACCAATGGCTTCGATACGTCCGCGCCGACCCTCCCTCGCTTGAAGAACAGCAGCAGGATGTCCTCCGCCAGATCCAAATCAAGCAACTCGCCCAATTAGCCGATATGCGCTGGGCAAGCAAGCCCTCCTACCTCGACAAGCCGCAGACACAGCAGCCAGGGCCCGCGACCAGAACGAGCGATGCGACATTGAATCCACCGATGGGAGCGGTCGGCGAGGGTCCCAAGACGCATAACGCAGTTTCTGGCGCTGAGGCTACAAAAGCAGCGGGAACGACGACGCCAACACCAACACCAACACCCGATGTGACACCGACAGCGAAAGAGGATCCGTGGGCTAAAGCTCGAACGAGCGATAGTGAGAACTGGCAGCCCGAGTCCTGGACACCGTCTTCTTCGCGGAGGTGACTAGGCAAATACTAAATCGATTTCATTATACACTTCTACATCCCTTTCCTCAGAAAAGCTGTTCGAGGCAAATTTCTCTGCTTCTGTTTAGATTCAGTTGGCAACCTGGCGTTCTACTGCACATCGTTTAGGACATTTGAGGGGATCTTTGCATACCTATATATCTCATCACAACTCTTTGTGGAATACACATGCCCTGTACAATATACGACATCTCTCTAACACCATCTTCTTCCATATAAACTATATGATTGTACTGAATGCAACATCCTTCTGAAGAGAGCCGGGGACAAAGCCCGTTGTACATCTGACAGGCATAACCCTAACGGGAATCTTTACAACGTCAGCCTGTGTGATGAAACCTGTTCAATAGTTGAGCAAGTAATCCTTAGGTAAACCGGACAGCTAGTCATAATCTTCAAGAGCAAAGTAATAGACTTAAGGAACATTAGGATAATGTATTCCATGATTAGGTATATGTGTATCAAAAAGCCGTGGTGATCTAAGCACCTTTTTTGTAAGTCACCTCCGCCTGAAACCCAATGAAAATCAAAACGCCCAAACGACCATTGCAATAAAATCAAACAGGTATAGAGCGAAAAAACACAATGTGAACAAGATATTAGGTATACATGAGCAGGATTTAGCAGAGGACAGCCTCGAGTGCTTCCACATCTCCGCCAGCTTTTCGTACTGCATTGATGGCAGCCTCGCTGAGCTTGCGGCGTCGATCGCGGGCCTCTTGCTCGCGTCTTGCTTTAGTCTTGGAACTCCCACTCGGAGCGACTCCAGTAAGAATTTTCTTGCTGTCGTTTGGAGTGAAGTTGACAAACGACACTGTCAGCGACTTGTTGGATCCCGATCGGGGACTCGACGAGTTTGGCCCTTTGACGGGCTTAGGTGTGTTCATTGACTGAGAAGACAACTTCCTGCCGTGGTAGCCGCGGCGGTGAGGACTAGTCTTTGTGTTGGCTCCGTTACGCAAGGGTGATCCTTGTGTTGGTGAGCCGCGGCCTCTTGGAGACAAAGATGGTGATCGTGACGCATGTTGAACAGGAGGAGTCGCATAGGCGGACAAGTTCATATACTTTTGAGGAGTGACGGGAATGTGGCTGTATGTATTTTGATTCTCCTGGGGCATAGGGGCTGAAGTCACGACAGACGAGAATGATGGGTCTGCCGAGGTAGACCCATCGAATGAGGAATCAAATTGGATCATCAATCCCCCCTGCATTAGATCATGCTGGTTGTTGCTTTGAATTGACCTTTGTGGAGCCGGAGAGGACACCACGTGCTGATATGAAGGTTGTCGCGGTACTCGAGAGGGCATGGATGGCCACCACGCTTGACCATCGTGGGCTTGGAGCTCAGGCGTGAAAGGGAGTGCAGGGCCACCAAGGGAGTCGGAATGCCAAGAGGACAAGGATTGAGGATCGGAGGAATGTGGAGAGGAAAATATGTCGTCGCCTGAAGGGGGGCTCGATGTGGCCATTGTGGAATTATTCGATTGACTTAAATAGTTATGCTGCTGCTGCTGCTGCGCCAGCAACCTGGCTGACGGTGATGGCATAGAGATTGCTGGTGACTGGTTAAAGATGCCAGTCTCGTAATGCGAAGGCATCTCTGTAGGATTTCTCGACAAGCCCTCGGTAGAATGGTTCATATGGGTGACAACATTGTCCGCAGGGATGTTCTCATGCTGCACAAGGATATCAGATGGAGGGGGCGACAGCGGCAAGTGCTCGTCCGAGTTATGAAGACTGAAGTTCTGAAATCGCTGAGCCCATGCTTCGGGATACATCATTCTGCCTGCCTGCAGCTGGGAAGGGCGCATTAAGCTCGGGGAGAAGCTCTGCTTGCGCAGCAGTTTACGCTCATGGGAATCTCGGTGACGACGGATAGATTTCGGAGTGACCAGAGCACTTTTGGTGGCTTTATGGCGGGGAGTTGCCGGGGGAGTGGACGGTGATCGGGAAGATGCTTTGCAGGTAACTGCAGGGGCAGGATGTGAAGTAGGAAGAGCTTCAAGGTGGAAGCTTAGGTCTGAGACAGCTGAGGGATGCACAGTGTCCTGAAAAGTAAAGCTGCCTTGGCCTGCAGATGAGGCTGCATCTTGCGGCAGAGACCATAAGTCTGTGGCCCACGGTTGTGGTGAATGATGGGTGGGTTTGGTGGGGACTGGGGGTGAATGATCGCCACAATCGCTTGACAACGAGTCAAGGGAGAAGATTTGGTCAAAGTCGCTTGGAATTGAAACGTCTTTGTTGCCATCAACCATCGATGAGTCCATGTCGACGTACTGACTGAACAAATCGTTGAAGGCATGATCGAATGGTTGAGCGAACATCTTGGGCTGCTCTGTCTTTCCGTTTGCGGCAAAGAGCTGAGAAGTGTCAGAGACCGGTTAACGGGTGCCAGGCGGATCAGATATGATTGGCAAGGAGACCGCGGGAACAAAGTATGGCTCGAAGAGAGTTCGGGTGTCGATCCGGTGTTCCGTCGATGCAATGCAAAGCAGGTTGGCTATGGTGGAATGCAATGTAGGAATAGTTTGATAGATTGACAATCAAAGAAAACGCTGCAGAAGATGCAAAGAAGACAAAGCAAACAAACAACAGACAGACGGCCCTATTTGAATTGTCGCGATGGCTGCCAGCCTCGAGGATTCTACGTACATTCCTTCTGCTCTAAAGATGGGAGAGGAATGTACATGGAGGAGTCGGAGAGGGCCTCGATATGGCCCACCTGATCCCCCGGTGGGTGATGCGAATGATTCAAGAGAGTGCCCCAGATGCCCGTACCAATTAGAAGGCGTGGGAAAAGCAAGTGGCTGATGCGAATATCCTACCCTTATCCACTCTCTGGGCAAAAGTGGACTGGGTTGTCGTTGGCCACCCGCTGGAATGCAACCCTCCCTATACCAGAACCAGAAAGAGGAAGAATCAACAGAAGAGGAATGTGTGGTCCTCAGCAGCCAGGTAAAGCTCATCACCTTGGGGAGAGCTTATGACAGCTGCTCGATAGCGGTCCATGGGACGGGAGACGATCATGGGAAATCCGTTAGCTTGAGCGGTATGATCCGTAAGGAACCAGAGAAGAGTACCCAGGATGGCGAAATGCCATTATCAGCGTCGATTTGGTCAATCCACAGCGTTCAAAGTGTAAGCGTCATACGGTCTTCCTACACCGTCAGCACGCATCACAAACACCACACTAGCCAGCACAGGGCCACAATGCCCTGGTCTTCTCCTTTGACTCCTTTGGATCCTGCTTAATGGTTGATGTTTCAGTGGAGCTGTTGGTTAGCAATGATTCGCTCCCTTCAACGGCACAGCCGTCGATAAGCTCGTTGCGAATGTGTGTCTGGAATGCGAGGGCTGGGAAGAATGCCCGCCCACAACAACAATGCAAAGAAACAGCCTGGCTCTTGAGGTTCAGGCACACACACAGTTCTAGCAGCAGTCAGTCTCGAGGCATGACCTATGAGAAAGGCCTGCGCGATTGCCCTCATGCCAAATTTTCTAAAATTATCCTGCTCTATACACGTAACGGATATCCACCAGGAGAGGAAAGAACTAATTCTTGCCTTAGGTCGTCATGGCTTGCAGATTTTGCCCTGTACGAAGCGATTTGGAATTATTTAGAAAGGTACTCAATGAGAATCAACCTTTAGGAGGCACGAACCAACTGTGTCATGGTGTGATCTGTTCTTTGTTCTCTGCGGAAAAGCAACTCATGTGGTTGGCAAGCCCGGTAAGTATGACCCGTAGAAGGAATCTCGTACCCAGAGTTAGGGTGTTCATCCCCAGCCAGTTTCTTTGTTCTCCAAAGACGTCTCTGTGTCCCATAGCCATGTGGTAACTGGAAGCTCCCTGCTACAAGGACACACATGATGTTCAGGCTTCGGGGAGCCAATCTTGCGCCTAGGGATTCTTCAGTCCATCAAGCTCGAAGGAGCCAGGGCTAAAGATAGGACAAAGGCTCAGAAACCAAGAATAGCAAGTGTGGGCCTTGTTTTCGCCTTGTCAAGACTAGACAAGATCTGTCTGAACGCGTCGCTGAATGTCCTGCCAGTGCTTAGAAAAATTAGGTTCTGGCAAGGGGGATCATCTTCTCGGGTCGATAAGTAGTAACAACAGCAAGCCACAAGAAAGAATTCCATGGCTAGTGGTAGTAACTTGGTGTTAACAAGACGTAAACCACTGTTTGAATTGTGGTTTAGCGTAAGACCTCAAAGAGAGGGCAATAGAGCACGGTTTCATAATCACAAAGAAACACCTTCAGATGTGCAGGCTTAGTAGAGGGAAAAATTTCGAGCTCATTGTGACAATCTGCTGTGACTTATTACGGTATGAAGATTGGGTCGTCAGCTCTAGTATCATTCAGTTACCATCAGCATTTTCAAGCCTCGTCAGCGGCAGAGATTAGTGTGTTCAATAAAATCCTTGATGATATCTCGGGTCCGGCACAATTTCACAAAGACACCCATCATCATACAAGCCGAGTGGCTTCGCAGAGAATCATAGAACTCATCCCTTCTTAATACCGGAGGAAATTCACTCCGGTTCTGGTCAGGAAAGGCAGCCGCTAAGCCAATTCTAGGAAGCCTCCGGCTGATTGCATTGGGAGGCAACAGGAGGTCAGGTGCCGATGACGGAAATCTGACTCCTCGCAGCCGCCGCGCAGTTGACCTCTTTCTTCCCCTTCACCAAGGCACTGTATATTGTGCTGAACTTCCTTGGATAGTCCATCGCATTTTCTTTGACTCGATGTGAAGCGTCGATGTCTCTCTGTGTCTGAGATTTTTTCGTACGAAAGCCGTCACCAACTTTCGACTGTTACCCCTCGAACCCCCGCTGTTGCCAGAACATCCCACGCAAAGTGGGTATGACTTCACAAGGACGACTTGGTATCATCAAGGACTCGAACTGATCGCAACTGCTGTAGAAGCAGATCCAACCCGTTATTATCGCAATTGAGATACACGGGCCCCAAGTTCT